AGCTGGGTAGAAATGAAACAACTTATGATTGCATTAGCATGAAATTTTAAGTTTGTAAACCGTTGTTTCATTTGTATAATAATGTACAACATTATGTATACATAATATCCATTATCCATTGCAAACATAATCTTCCATCCTTACAAACTTATGGCACTTCATTATCGAGTCCAGTCCTTGTCCCCAGTGACAACCCCCTTCACAACAAGGATCAAACAGTAGCTCTCATCATTTACACACTGAATGTAGAAAGTAGGGTGTGATACCCACCTCGCTCCCCTCTCTCTCTCTCTCCCTCGCTCCCCCTCCTGGGCCCTGGTTCTGGGCCCTGTTGTCTGCAATCTGGTGTACTGTTGACAGTACTGATACTGAGTGTGCAGTATACTAAACTCCCAGTGTATGGGTTGATGATGACGTCATCTTGAGCAGACTTACCGATGACAGATTAATATGCTGTCTCTATCTACCCCCTCTCTCTCTCTCTCTCTCTCTCTCTCTCTCTCTCTGATGCAAACACACACAAACTGGAGTTTAAACATCTTCCTACCGGGAGATGGAGGGGAGCCAAGTTTGTGTAGCGCCGCCTAGAACCAGGCCACTAGGACCTCCGAGTCACAGAGTCAAAGTTACAGTTTTTATTAAGGAAATGTAGCTTGAGACACGTGGATGTTTTAAACTTGTAGCTTGATGTGGGAGGATTTATCAGCCGATCTCTCTCTCTCTCTCTATCTCTCTCTCTCTCTCTCTCTCTCTCTCTCTCTCTCTCTCTCTCTCTCTCTCTCTCTCTCTCTCTCTCTCTCTCTCTCTCTCTCTCTCTCTCTCTCTCTCTCTCTCTCTCTCTCTCTCTCTCTCTCTCTCTCTCTCTCTCTCTCTCTCTCTCTCTCTCTCTCTCTCTCTCTCTCTCTCTCTCTCTCTCTCTCTCTCTCTCTCTCTCTCTCTCTCTCTCTCTCTGTCTCTCTGTTTTGTCCAGTGTGTCCTCGTGTTATCCTTCACAAACATAAATATCTGATATTATGCTAAATATAGACCTGTCTTTATAATACTTAATATAATATACTGCCTGGTATGTACGCGACTGTTAACTAAATCATGCTGCATCAGCAGCGTTCATTGTTCTTGTTTAAACGTTATGTAAGTTATAACATGGCCTGACACAAGTAGTATTACTTTTACTCACACACGATATTACTAATAATTCGAGAGACGCTTTCATGATGTAATTATTATTAAACGAAGATTTCAAACCTCGTAAATATGTGTTGCCTGATCGTATATCCAAATACTATAATCTGTTGTGCTATAATTTCCCGCCAAATCTTTCCAGACTTACTATTTCCTTTCTCTGACACAAAGTTATCAGGATGTTAACCAGAAGTTAGTAGGGTAACTAACAACATTGTACTAACAACAACTAACACCATTACTATGCTTCTGGTTTGTGGTGAGTATATATCTGTGTGCAGGGCGAACAGCGTGTGTGTGTGTGTGTGTGTGTGTGTGTGTGTGTGTGTGTGTGTGTGTGTGTGTGTGTGTGTGTGTGTGTGTGTGTGTGTGTGTGTGTGTGTGTGTGTGTGTGTGTGTGTGTGTGTGTGTGTGTGTGTGTGTGTGTGTGTGTGTGTGTGTGTGTGTGTGTGTGTGTGTGTGTGTGTGTGTGTGTGTGTGTGTGTGTGTGTGTGTGTGTGTGTGTGTGTGTGTGTGTGTGTGTGTGTGTGTGTGTGTGTGTGTGTGTGTGTGTGTGTGTGTGTGTGTGTGTGTGTGTGTGTGTGTGTGTGTGTGTGTGTGTGTGTGTGTGTGTGTGTGTGTGTGTGTGTGTGTGTGTGTGTGTGTGTGTGTGTGTGTGTGTGTGTGTGTGTGTGTGTGTGTGTGTGTGTGTGTGTGTGTGTGTGTGTGTGTGTGTGTGTGTGTGTGTGTGTGTGTGTGTGTGTGTGTGTGTGTGTGTGTTGGGGTGTGTGTGTGTTGGGGTGTGTGTGTGTTGGCCGTTGGGGTGTGGGGTGTGGGGTTTGATAATATGCGAGGTATGTGCAGATACTGAAGCGTGAATTAAGGATATAATATCAAGTAACCTCAAATTACTAGACATATGATATGTCATAATATTATATTAGCATTTCCAATCCTACTCTGGATTTCTTTGACTACATTTCCAAATTGTGTTGCGCAAAACTTTGATAGCCTCGTGTAACTTGTCAGGACCACTGCTTTAGAGTTTAGAGCATTTAAACTCAATGTGACTACTGAGATCAAATCATAAAAAATATTAGGTTTTGACTTTTGAAGCACGCACAGTGAATATAATATGATTGTGCCATTACGTTGTGTATTTATTGCCTTAGCCCCAGACATCCAAAAATAGTATAATTACGGGTCGTAATTTTGTCTTTTGGTTTCGTCAGATCGCGTCGGGGAATCGTTGAAACAATATTAAAATACCCAAATCAATATGCCGTACACATATAATAATGCTAAATAGTTCACACGAAATCGTTTCCCAAAAGCCTAG